CCCCCCCCCCATATAGAAAACAATACGGCATGGCTTATTTTGGTGTGTTTGGAACTAAATAAGCATTTTCATCGTGATTTTATTTATTACAATTCATAGGCCTATTCTTTCACATCATTACACATTGAGGCCCTTATTTTAGGTAAAACGATATATCTTAAATTTTCTTTCTCAAGTTTTTGGGACTATTATGTTTTTAAATAACTTAGAAGGCAAAGGAGGGCAAGCACAAGCTTTAACCCTAAGAAATGCGCGCGAAGCGCGCGAAAAATTTTTTTGTGCTTTTAATTCTAATTTCGTCGGAATTGATCAAAATTCCCTAATTGTGCAATTTTTAGAGGAAATTGGCCTACCTCAACAAGAAATGCTCTTATGTTATATATGGCCACACTCGTTTTTTTTAAAACTGAATATAAGTATTTTCCTTACGGCTTTATTTATTACTAACATATTCTTTCAACAGTACATTGCTTTTTGGCTACTGGGTGGTACAAGTCATGTGATGGATGAGGTCCATACATGCCAACTGTGAAAGTGTTTTGTCCCATTTCCTGTGTGCTGATTTTGAAGTGCTTGCTGCATAGACCGATGGAAAACTGGTGGTACCCGAAACCATGAGGGCAAATCCAGAATAGAAGGGATTTGCATGTTGGAATCGCACATTCTATGGAATTACCTTGACACTGTCGAATAAGGAGCTTGTCATGTACAATGCAGTAAGCCTGTAATTGACTGTAACAACTCTCGATTAATGTTCTTTTAGCTTTATGAATGGTGTGGCAAGTACGTACATAGAGCAAAAAAGGGTGGTGTCCTGGTGGGAGACCTTGATTATGTGATGGTGGAGACTGCCATGCCTTATTGCCTGACCATCTTGCACTTATGTGAAAGTGTGCTTGTATTGACATAACCAATAGAAGGTGCCACTCTCCATGTTGGAGTTCCATGGGCATTTGTTGATTTGCGTTTGTTTGATGGGTAGTAGCAAGCGTCACATAAGCCTGTAGTGTTGCAGATGTTGCTTGCAAATCAGCTAATGTGTTAAATGTTATAGGCTCAACATTACTACATAAAC